TTTTTCAAAAAAAAAAAAAAAAATCTATTGGGCTTAGGGTTGCTAAAAGTTGGGCTGAAAATGGTGGGCTATTTGGGCCAAAAGTTTAGTTCAAAAGATTTGAAATAAATCAATGGAAAATGGGCTGAAAACTTGCTCAAGAGGCCGAAATTTTCCAAATGATATGGGCTTGAAATATTAAATCATTTGGGCCGAGAAAAAATAAAACATACATCGGCCAAGATAAATTAATTCTTTTGGGCTGTAGAAATTTATGAGAAATTTACACAATTTACATCCCATACTGAAAATAATAACAAAAATACGATCTCAGAACAATTTAACCATAATTACGTTAGTTAATAATTAAAATGATATTTAATGCGGTTGGCCTAATTAACCGTTAAATGCAATTAATTACATACTTTATTATTTTGCACTCATCTTTACACTTGCATTATTATCGGGAAAGGGGATTTACTCTCCATATTTACAATCAACCACCTAAAAAAAAGTTTCAGAAAAAACTCAAATTTTCATCTCTCTCTCAAAATCTCCATCTCCATCTCTCTCTCCAAAACAACATCACATCTCAATTAAAATAAAAATAAAATAAACCTTATCGCAATGGCCTTAACCGAACTATCGCGAACTCCGGACCTTTCTCCGAAGAGCCGTCTCAAAACCGCAGTGCACCATATTTTTGCCGGTGAAATTGTGAAGAACAATGGCAAAGGAAAACAAAATCGAGAGATTATTGTACATATATATACGAAGGAAAACAAAATAGAGCCTACTAGCCGTGTCAAAAATTGAAGGCAAACCATCCAACATTGAAGACGAAGCAAGGAAATTCGTGTGAGAGCGACGATGATTCCCCTGGGATGCTTGATGATATAGAACGTGCAAAGCTCACATCTCTCATACCTTGTGTTGCATTTTTTGATTTTCTTTTTCCTTATTTCCTGGTGAACTTCAGTGAAGGAATATTGGTGCTGTTGCGTTTGGATATTTGATTTGCATGAGGTTAATCTATCAAAATGTACTTTTCAGATAAGCAATACACTTATACTTCCGTTTATTATGTATATATATACATAAGATAAACAGCTCATAAACATATTTTTGATTCTGCACTAACCCGATAAACAATATATAACCATATAATTATATGTAGAACTTATGTGGTAATGTATCTTACATCTACCGTTTATTCTACATATATATACACAAGATAAATATTATATAAACATATTTTTTATTAGCACACATACCGTTTATTGTACATAAATATATACATAAGTTAAACAGTATATAAACATATTTTTAATTAGCACACAAACAGATTATTGTACATATATATATATACGTAAGATAAACAGTATATAAACATATTTTTTATTAGCACACAAACCGATTATTGTACATATATATACGTAAGATAAACAATATATAAACATCCATTCATTTTTGAACTGATATTGGTTTGTTGTTGCATGGTGGCTGAGCAACTTCATCACTTCATTTTTATCTCTGAAAGATTGACCGACCACAACATCCCAAATCATACTTCCATCGACACCACATTCAAGTGTTCTGGAGTTGTTTATCTCCTGTTTATCTTTTGAATACTTAACTGCTTCAAGCATTGTATCTGCAGCATGTTCGACAAATTCTCTATAAAATTTGGTGGTTCGCCTCGCCATGGAAAGGCCGACTCGATCAGGGTAGTCGGTTTTCCTCTCTGTCACAGTCAGCTCTCAGTCGCGGTGGTGTTCGGCGTTCGCCGTCGCGCCTGGAGGTCAAAGGTCGGATCGAAGCTCGACGTCGAAGAAAGCTCCCGCCGCTGCTGCTTGTTCGCGGTTCACCTGCCTCGCCGCTAGTTGTCAAAATTAAGGGTTGCGGATAAGGATTAAGGCTCGCTGTCGGACGACGGTTGTCGTGAAGTTGGAGCTTCGACCACAAAACTCGGGACTCGAGGTAGTGAGTTCTGATTTTTCTGAGCGAAAATTAGGGTGGCGATTGAATGAGAGGAGATGAGTCAATATATGGAGAGAGAAGAAAGATATCTGACGATTTATTACAATCTCGTAAATTTGAAAAAAAAAAAATCACTACTGAATCCTCTTTTGATTATGTTTCTTACTAATTGTATTTATGTTAATATTTCTAATCTAGGGGTTATATGTGTATTTTTCCCGAAATTTATTATCTCCCTAACAGGCCGTTTTAGCAAAATAAAAATAGGCCAAAAATAAAAATAAAGACACTATGTGTCCCTCTTGAATAAACCTTTACAATAAGCTACTTGCTTACATACTAACGCATATTTAGTTTTTTCTGTTTCCAGTTTTACTCTTTAAGATCATTTTATCCTTGTTTTTGCTTTGGCAGTTATTTAAAATTAATATTTTTTAATACTTTTTTTTCATATTATTTATATATTTAATTTAGAGCAGTTTTTCTCTAAATCTTCTATTATGACACGTCTTTTGATATAAAAAAAGTTTAACATCATTTTCTCCTCTTTCATTTTTTTCATTCTTCTTCCCTCCTAAATTCTCCAATTTTCATAGCAGATACAAAACAATTTATTGACCAATCTTTTAATCTTTCCACTTCTCTTTCTCCTTCCTATTTTCTTCTTTCGTTTTTCTCGCAGGTCTCCAGAGGACCGGCTCGATGAAGTGGTGTCCTGCTCATGATTGGGGGCAACATGTCCTTCTCCAGCGTGCGAAGGTGTGACGACCGACGACAATTTTTTTTTTTTTTTTTTATCTTGTCCATGATTCGTATATATTTTTATTTCATTTTTATTTTTTTTGTCTAAGTTCAGGTTTTGATGTTAATTGTGTACACACAAGTGGAAAAAGGAAAATTCATGAAACTAGTAAAAGTTAAATGAGTGATATAGAAAAAGTTATC